GGCAGCTTTCTTCTGATCTTATCAACCAGTTTTCAGTTCGCACACGGGAAAGAACCATTTCAAGTTTGGATTGGTGAGTACCATACCTCCAATTGGCACTTATCCATTTTCAAAACTACTGGAGCCTATATTTAAAGCATTTTAGAATATGGGTCCGGGATAGATATAATAATATAAATACAAATATTATTTAAATTAGGCATTTAATTATACTGATAAAGGTGTTGAGGAAAGTTACCTATATAAATGATGTGAAATACTAAATAAGAATGGCGACAAAATGCACATTGATTAAATACATGAAGAGAGATGGAAATTAGGAAATAAAATATTTTTTGTAAAAAAATTTGCTATAGACGAGTCAACTTAAAAAAGCTTTGGCAATTTATTAGAACGTGGATATTAAAATCCTTTACTTAAAGAATACTCAAAGAATATTTTGCTTAATGATTTGAAGTCATGTTACCGATTGTTAAAATTATCAACATTTACTGTTGTGAATAAACGTGTACTCTAGTTAGGCAAATATACAAATGTATTTTATTGTAAAACTCAATAGAACGGATTTATGTAGTGGAATGCATTTTTAAAAAGCAGATATAGGCGAATAAAGGTTATCTTTTACCATGCACTATAGGCCTAGAACGAACATTAAATAGTTCAGAGGTTGTTTGACCTTGTATTCGCAACTTGGTCATATTGGTAGGAAGAATCAGAGGAACATACCTGGTCCCGAGTCTATTGCATGAACGATAAATTCCAGAATAGTAAATTAAACGTAGAACATTCTCAGACTTTTCGCCGGCATTGTAGTCGGCATCGTCAGTAAGTCTCGTCATATTTAGCACCAGACAACAACTCGTCAAACATTGAACCTAATCAAAGCAAGCATTACCACAAAATTTGTGGGTTGGCACACAATATATTTGGGCATAGGAGGTCATAGACTTGGTATTATGGATAGAAACAGGATAGACGCGGCGGAGACTGCAGCTAGTTGGCTGACAGTAGGTTTTACAAGAGACGTGGTCCATGTAGCAGAGGCATGACGATGAGACTTACTCAGAGGCTTGAGCCTTGAATTAGGCACTCAGACGCAGGGGAGGGCGAATACCGCCTCGAGTCTGCTCAAAGGAGCACACCACACTACATCGAAATAAGCACGGCAAAAATTGTAACAGTGAAGGCGTGATAGGAGGATGTAGGAGATGTGAATAGCCCAGGACAGAAGGGGAGATACTACAACTATTTAGCACACGTTTGGTCAAAGGATTGGCTTCACTTGTCTCTTTCGGCAGTCGCTGAAATAATAAGTAAGTATAAAGCATAAAATCAACATGGAAAAGGAAATGAGGGTGCTCTGTCCAGTTTAATTCCACGATTTGAGAAAATGTGCAGTTATTTGCAGGCTCATCCATCACGTTAATTATTAAATAATAATTTAATGTTAATAAAGTAAAAAAACATAATGAAGATATAGGAGCTTTATTTATTTTTATCTTTTACTTACGAATAGTCTTACTTAGGGTAGGGCACAAAGGAAAAATGTTAATTGAAAAAGGGCGCCGCGACTAGGAAACTTTTCGGAACCACTGGTATAGACGATAACACACACAAACACACGCACACACACTCGAGCAAAAATAGCAGGACCATGAAAGACAATTAGCCAAACTATTCTATATCTATCTAGGTTTTTATTTTATTTTGCTTAATTGAGTCTATATAGGAGGTAAGATAGATCCGGATAGTCTTATTGGCCTTGTGTTAACTTGAGACTTTTACAAGAATGAGTTCCAGCCCTGATGATGTCTATCATATGATGGACGAAAGCTTAGCTCGTTTCCACCCGAAAGGAGGGAGCAGGTCTCGTGGACTGCGTCAACTTGAACTTCGTGTAAAAGCCAAACGGCTGCAGTACAACGGGATTCATCCGTCCTCTTCTGGTGAGATCGACATACGAATCTCTTTCTCATGCACTTTCATACGAAATTAAAGTCCTCCAACATTTATTTTATAATAATATTATTCTGATTAGATTGTTTAAGTTTCATATAGCAAACCTTTCGGTACTATGCAAATTTGTCCTATATGGATCAATTGTTAAATCTACTCGACCATCCACAGAGCTTTTCCTGTGTTTTTAGTGATAACGTTGCAGATTAGTAGTAATATATTTTGTGATATCATTCTATATTATGCTTATGAAAAACTAACAGACTATCATAATGCCTTTTAATGGGGTGTAATCCAATCAAATTGAAATAAACTCACCTAAATTTTAATTTATATTCAGGCGAATCACCGTTTTGTGGGGGTGCAAATTATGGCTGCACACCATTTGATCTAACATTTGTCAAGTACGATAAATGGGGTGATGGGAAATTGTGCTTAACAGGATATAAGGCTCTTTGTGAGACCATACCAGTTAAGCAAAAGCAAAATCCAGAGCCATTTAACTTTTACGTTATGACCTATAATGTTTACGAAAGACCCTGGTTGGTCTCACACGATGGACAAACTGAAAGGACCTGTCGCATTACAAGATGTAAGTTACTATTTTTCAGGTAGATTTTGCATCATATTCCTCATTAAGCCTTTTTAAAAATTCTAAGGATTTGACGTTGGAAATACAGGCAATTCATGCTGTTAGCTCTAATATTGAATATAAAAATATAATTGCGTGATTTTCACGATGGAAACTAAACATTAATGAAATAGAGGATTTAATTGGGTTTACGGCACTGTCTAAAGGTAGTTACATACTTATAGTGTGAATCTTGGACTTTATTAATTATATGCAGTGGTAGAGTTGAATGTATATGGAGAAAGAGTTCAATTTGGAGTTGCTAACGCTCGAATGCACATAGGAGGGTTGTTATTTGATAAGTCAAACGAAAGTGAGAAGTTGAAGTTA